GTCAAGATCAGAACCTGGGTCTCCCTATTTTCAGAGCAAAACATTCAGTAGGAAGAGGGCAGGGAGGGCAAAAGGTCACTCTGGCCTCCCTTGATTCTTCTGGGGAAGTTTCCTTTGTGATCTAGAGGATGGATCTTGGTTCCTCTAGCAGAAGCTACCTAAGGAACTTGGCTATGAACTAGGACAGAGCCTTTTCCATGAAGGGGTAAGAGAACCCTGTTCAACCATTCCCTTCTCACAGAGACAGTTTATCAAGTGGTTCCTGTGCAAGGAATCCACAGGCGTACAAACACATACATGGCATGTGTGCACACACACCTACAGAGATATATCCATTTATCTACACATACATAACAGAATTTGCCTACAGTCATGAAGATTGAACTCATACAGGCACACACTTTTTCATACACACACACAGCTCACAGAGACTAGTTCTTTTATGCATATACAAATTCTCAGAGAAACATACATAAATCTCTTTTTGCACAGACTCAAACACAGAGATGCTCTTATTATACAGAGAGACAGATCCACAGACTCATCCTCACGTAAACTCAGAAGCAAAGGCTGTCACACAAACAAGCACTTGCACGCTTACTCACACAGACCCAGATATACAGGGAAATATATTCGTAGTCACATAAGCACACACTGGACAGGTTGGGGTTGTGGCAGGGGGTGAGGTGGGGTGGGGGGGTGAGGAATGTTACAGAAGAGGTTATGGACCCAAGAATGGCTATGGTTTTTCAGACATAGGCCCTAACCTACCATTGGAGCCCCTTCTCTTTCCATAGCCAGAGAAAATGAATTTCCAAGGGGGAGCCAGAAAGCGAATGGGAAGTTGTTTCCTCCTGTACCTGGACAGATGGTAAGGGATAGGACACGGCACCCTCCTTCCTATTCCCACACCTATCTTTCACATGCCTTGATACACATGACACACATTCTCTCATACCTACCCTGATACACACACATACTCACCACCCCATTTGACACATTGTCATATGCCCTGATACGAGTACATATACACACACTCATACTTATCTTTGTGCACACAACCATACATTATACCACCTTGTATCCACACACATGCCTAGATATATACAAAGGATCCTAGTAGCACAGATTTATAACTTGAAGGGATCTCAGAGGTCATTTTATAGATGAGGAAAATAAGGTCCAGAGAAAGAAATCTGGGATTTTAACTCAGGTACTTTGATTCAAAACCTAGTGTTTTCCCCAACCCCCGATGCTGCTTCCTCTATATGCCTTAGCATACATGCACATACACACCTTGATGTATATATTCCAAACCACCCGACAAATACATACACATTCGTGCCCTCATTCTTTCATTCCCACCCTGCCACACATAATACACACACACACACACACACACACACACACACACACACACACACACACACTGAGTTGTGAAGCAAACCAAGGCTCATTATGCCATAATCCAAGTTTGACCTCTGGCCTTTCCCATCAGATGTTGTGGGGAACCCTTATTCACCATACAGACCTCCAATCCAAGGGGCCTAGTGTTAAAGCCACTGGAAGCAACTACCACGAACACCAAGGAGTTTTTCTATGGGTATATCAAGATGATACAAGAGAAGGCACCAACCCCTGTACTATCTTCCCTTCCTACAACTCAACTTTCCTGGTTAATCTACTTTATAAATCATTCGTTTTAAACACTCCCTATTCTTAAATTGGGCACCTTGTAAATGGGTCAGTGAGTGGAGGCCCTGATCTGCTGGGTGACATTGGTCAAGTCATTCCCCCTTTCTGGGCCTTGTGAGTAAAATTTGGGTGTTGGACTATAAAATCTCTAATGTCTCTACTAATTCTAGATTCTATGACAAGCAACAAAGGCCATAATGGCACACTTCTGTGACACGCATACCAAAAACCAGCAAGAGCCTCCTGGGAAGGTAGACAGAAGTCAGGGGGCTGTGTGAGACCAGACGAATCTTAGAATTCAACCTTAGCCCTTTGAACTTGGATGTTTTTTCAAACCCATACACAGAATTTCTGTCCCTCTCCTCAAAGTCCTCCTAGCTCCAAAGACATGTTCTTACAAAAAGACTCTCCTCAATCTCTGTCCCAATTTCAATCTATCCTCCATTCAGCCACTAAAGTGACTTTTCTGAAGTGTAGGTCTGGTCATATCATGCCCCTATTCAATAAACTGCAGTGGGTTTCTATTGCCTCTAAAATCAAATGGAAAATGCTCTGTTTGGCATTCAAAGCCCTTCACAACCTAGCCTCTTCCTATTCCTTTCCATTTTTCTTGCACCTTACTCTCTGATACATATTCTTTGATCCAGTGACAGGGACCTCCTGGCTGTTCCATGAACAAGACACTCCTCTTAGCTCCAGACATTTTCTCTGGCTGTCCCCCATGCCTGATTGCTGACCTCCCTGTCTTCCTTTAATTCCAAACTAAAGTCTCATCTTCTACAGGAAGTCTTCCTCAAACCTCTCTTAATTCCACTGCCTTCCCTCTGTTAATTATCTTTTTATCCTGTATATGGCTTGTTTTATAAATATTTGTTTTCATGTTGTCTCTTCCATTAGATTGTAAGCTCCTTGAGAGCAGAGATTGTCTTTTGTCACTTTTTTTTTTTTTTAGTATCCCTATCGCTTAGCACAGTGCCTGCCTGGCACGTAGTTAGTGCTTAATAAGTGATTATTGATTGACTCTGGGTAAGTCACTTGCCTTCTCTGAACATCAGTTTCTTCATCTGTAAAATAAGGAGATTTGACTAAATGATTTCCTAAGTCCCTGCTACCTCTAAACTCTGAGAGTCACTTCACTAAGTCTGTTTTATTATTTGTGAACAAGATAACAATCCTATTGGTAGTACTGTGGTATACTGGAAAGATTACAGGATGTGAAGGCAGAGAACCCAAGTTCAGTTCCCAGCTCTGTCACTCAAATCTCAGTCTCTGACCTTGAATAAGTAATTTAGGTTTACTGGGCCCCAGTTTCCTCATGTGTAAAATGAGGGGTTTGGACTAGATGACTTTTAAGGACCCTTCTCGTTATAAATATATGCTCCCATGATTCTACCAACCTCACAGAGTTGTTGTGATAAAAGTACTTTGACTATCATAAAGGGTATTTACCATTATTATTACTATTATTATTATTATCATATCATCATCACCACCATCATCATCCTGAAAGCCTGGGTAGGGGTTGGTGAAGATGGAAGGAAGGATCCGTTCAGTTGAAACCAATCCTTCACTAACGGAGGGGGGGAAGCCTCCCCTTTCCCTCATCTGCTAATGTGCAGTCAAAAGGAGGAGATTGTGTGTTCCAGAGCCTAAAATGCCACCCCTCCCCCAATCTCTCAGCTTCCTAATAGTGGGGGTGGGGCAGAATTCCAAGATTCTTCCTTCTGTGGGTGAAGAAGGTAATTCTCTTTCACTGGGTTCCTCAGCTCCATAGGTATTGGGTAGCCCAGCTATCCCTTCCCCATCTAAAGGCCCTGCCCTATGAGTGACTTCTTCCCCAAAGGGTAACCCTCATCACCGTTAAAGTTGAGACCAACCTTGCCCAAGAAACCACAGGACTGGATTTTGTGATATAGTGAAAAGAGCATGGAATTTGGAGAAAGGCTGATTTGGATCCCAATCCTAGTTCAGACACTCATTAGCTTGGTGACTTAGAACAAGCCACACTTTGGGCTACAGTATTCATATACACAAAACGAAGCTGGACTGAAGTCCTTTTCAGCTCTAACATTGTGTGTCTTAAAAGTCCCTTCCAGGGGCAACATTCTATGTTTTGAATTACCTGTTAGTTTTAGTATTTTGTAATTCATTACTCTTTAATGGGGGGAAAGTAAGGACAGAAAAGAAGATGGGATGTAGACTAACCCCTAGGCCCACCAAAATACTCTGCCTTTCAAATACTGGCAAGGAGAGAAGTAATCCCAATGGCTGAATCTGGTAGCAGAATAGATTTATTATATGTGGAGGATGAGGTTGCTGGGGGCTTAGAGGAAAATATCTTCTCCTCTCTCTCCTCACTCCTCCCTATGTGGGGCTCCCTTCATCTTCCCACAACATCTAGCCCTCTATAGAGGTCTTTTTTTTTGGGGGGGGTGGGGGAATGGAAAACAATAACCATGCTAATTTCAGGTGGAGGGATTAACACCTCTTTCTCCATCCCCCTCCTACAAATATAGGTCTCTCGCCTTGTTCTCTGACATTTCAGAGTCCTTGGCCATTCACTAGAGCTGTGGGTTCTCAAAGATATAAATTTGCCAAGGGTGGAAAGAGTTGACTTCATTGGTCCATTGCACCAGTTCCAACCAGAGGGAGCCTGGGACTCCCAAATTGCCAAGGTCTTTCCTCTCTGGCCTGACCAAAATCCCAGACTCTCAGTTCTCAGTGAGTGGTTCATAGATTTGCTGATCTCCCTCAGGAGGAAAGGGTCAGAGCCCAGCAGAGAGAAGGCTCCCACCAAGTGCCAGGGGGAGCTCCAAGGGAGACGCCTCCCCTCCCCCCCATTGGGTCACCAAATAGAGCCTTATCATCGTTGTCCCATTCCCTAATCCTTCCCATGAAGCAAGGTGATATGGAACTTCCTCTGGGTGGCAGACTGGGGACCCCTTCCTCCAATTTAGGAGTCCTTTTTCTTTTTCAGGTGTCGATTTACAGGCGTCACCCTTCCTTTTTCTACACTGCTCTCCGCACAAGTCTCTGTGTTCCCGGCGACTACTGCGTAACTGAGTTGTCTGTCACCACAAGCGGGTCCCTTCTAGATTGGGAAGTTGGCTGAGGGCACTGCTGGGACAGCTGCAGTTTGCCCCCTCCCCTGTTTTCTCCCCAGGACGCAGAAATCGGGTGGAAGTACCCTCTCTTTAGGCACACGGTGACATTCCCAGCTCCCATCCCAGTCCTCTCTCCTTTTTCCCAGAGCTCCCAGATTCAGTAATCGAGGCCCCTAGCTTTCCGGACTGCTCAGTTCCTACCTGAAATAGTCCATTTTGCAGAAGATTTCCTTGTTCTTAATGTAGCAGCTGTTCTGCTGCCGAAGTGACGTGCGACAGACAGAGCATTCCAGACATCGCACGTGCCAGATCAAGTTGTTGACCTGGACATCGGAGATGGAGGAGAGGAGGATAGAGGAAGAGAAGAAAAGAGAGAGTTGGGACTCAACTTGGTGTCCGATATTCCAGTCCTTCCCTGCTTCCCACGGCTGCTCACAACTCGCGGGAGTAGTGTCCCGTGCAGATTGGGGGAAGATGGAAAGGCAAGCCATTCAATCTACTTTTCACCTGTCTTCCGGGCACAGGTTCTAGTCCCTGCTCTGTCGCTAACTCGTTATGTGACCTTGAACAGTCAAGTCACCTACCGTCTCTACCCTTAGTTTCTTTCTTCCTTTTTCAAAATATAGTATTTTGACCAGATTTTTAAAAGCCCCCATTTCCAGCTCTGATATCTTATGTTTTAATATTTATAATCTAAGTTTCTTTCCAGCTTTGACGCTCTCCGTTCTATCGTTGTGTGTGTTCTAGGTTCCCTTCCAGCTCGTTCATTTTGTGTTCTAAGGTTCTTTACAGTTGTAACATTCTATGTTCTACCTCCACATTCTCCGACTGTAAGCGCACATACCTTGAGCAGGTAGCGATCGAGAATCTCGAGGCCACAGCTAGAACAGATGTTTTTGCCCGCGGATGGCACCGAGGAGGAGGCAGAGGGAGGTGAGCAGACTGAAGGGGTGCTGGGCGTGCAGGGGGAAGAGCGTCCCTCGTCCTTGTCTAGGCCCCCGGGCAGAGCATCTCCGTCCGACTGAGCCTGCGAGAAAAGAGTGAGGGGAATGCGACTGAGTTGGGATTCAAGAAGCCAGTAAGAAATGCCCCCTCCCCTTTAACCACATTCCCATTTGGGTGTGGGTGGTGGATAGGGTGGGGTGGAGATATCAGGACAGTCCCCTTTAGTCTCCCTTGGTTGGACTCTGCCCTCCACGCGTCCTCTGGAGGAACTGGAGGCAATCATACTAGACCCAGGCGTCACTCACTTTGAGAGGGACCAGAGACCAAAGTCTTCCCGGTCGGTGAAGGGGGTCTGTTTTCGCTGTTCCATCACCTCTCCCCCGAGTCAGGGGAGATTTGTCTCAACGAAATTTCTCCAGTTCACCCACCCCGGGAAGCCAGGAGTGAGGAAAGGGTGGAGAAAGGGGTGCGGGAGCTACGGATTTGTGTTTGGTGGGGAGGAAGGACCGGGGAGACCTAGGGCCCAGCTTACCATGCTGGGCGGCGCGGTTCCCTCCAGGCAGCGGGAGCTGGCTTTACAGCCCGGCCCTGGCTGAGCCATCACCTTGAGGGGAAAAGACGGAGAGCGGGAGTCACACGCAGCGAGAGAGCAACGGCCAGGAGCCGGCTGTGTCCGCGCTGCGCCTTCCCGCGCCCCCTATATAAGCCGCAGCAAAACAATACCTCAGAACTTTCCAACGGGCATTTAAACCCTTCCCTACAAAAGCGGTGTCTCTTTAATGAAGCAATTTGAATTTGGATGGAATTTTTTTTCTCTCCCCCCTCCCTCCCCGCACTTAACCCGTGGCTCTTGAAGTAATCGCTCCGTTCCCCTGCAATCCACAGCTCTGAAACACACAAACTACCTGCAATTAGAAATTGTCGTAAATGCCCGAGATAAGAGGTATGGAGGGTGTCAATTCCAGCTGTCAATCAGAAAATGGATCAGACCACCCAAAGAATTGCAAATTTGATTTTTTAATGGTAGTAATTAAAAATCGAATTTTTCTTCTCCTCCTGCCCCCCTCCTCTTGCCCCCCGTCTTCTCTGGCACAAAATGCAGTAAGGGAGAGAGAGAGAGAGAGAGAGAGAGAGAGAGAGAGAGAGAGAGAGAGAGAGGAGAGAGAGAGAGAAGAGAGACAGAGAGACGAGAGAGACGAGAGAGAGAGAGAGAGAAGAGAGAGAGAGACGAGAAGAGAGAGAGAGAGGAGAGAGAGAAGAGAGAAAGAGAGAGAGAGAAGGAGAGAGGAAGAGAAGAGAGAAGAGGAGAGAGAGAGAGAGAGAGAGAAGAGAGAGAGAGACACAGAGAGAGAGAGAGAGAGAGAGAGAGAGAGAGGAGAGAGAAGAGAGAGAGAGAGAGAGAGAGAGAGAGAGAGAGAGAGAGAGAGAGAGAGAGAGAGAGAAACCCAAGAGGAGGAGGAACAGCCCGGACCCGCACTGCGAAGCCGCCAAATGGTCCCAGATTTCAGCCGAGCGGGCGCAGGTTCAAGGTCTCTTTGGAAATAGGGGTGGGGGCGGTAAGAAAGGGGGTAAAAAGACAGAAGGGAGAAAACAACATAGATAAAGGGAAGGGGGAAAACCACCCACCCCCACTCCACCCCCTTCCCCAAACGAATCCTTCGGCAGCTTGGTATTCAAGACTCGGAAAAGGGCAGCGGCTTTGGAATTCTGAGCGTTGCATCTCCACAACCCCTCGGCGCATTTGGGTTATTAAGCCCCTATTCAAGCAGACAATACCGAGCTCCCCCAGTCATGATTCCCTGCTCGTGGCTAAATCGCTTTTTTTGAGAAATTCCTCAAACATTTGCATAATGTTTGCCTTTTTTTCCCCTCGATTTCTTTTTGAGCCCCCCCCCCGCCTCCGGCCGGCTCCCTCTTCCTCCCTCCCCCCAACCAACCCACTCCCCCACTGGCGGATTCTCTCTCTCCCCCTTGTCCCCCCTCCCCCAAACCCTGGGCTCTTGGCGGGCCGGGCGCTCCTCGGTTCCCCTGCATCCTAATCACGTTACTGAGGGGGACCCGAGCTAAAGGCGCTAACTCTCACCTGGTCGGCGGGGACCCCTTCTGAAGGGAGGCGACCGCCCGCGGGCGCTGGGGCGGCGCAGTTCTCATGCTTCCAGTACATGGGCCCCGGCGAGCGGGCGGGGGAGAGCCCGGCAAGGAGCAACGAAGGACAGGAGAGGAGAGGAGAGCCAGCCCAGCAGGCTGTAGAGCCCCGCGCCCCCGCCCCCTCACACAGCCGGGGTCCCCCCAACACCCCCGCCCCACCTTCAGGCTCCAATCCCCACGGGCAAACAAGTACAGTCCCAACAAACTTGGAAAGGCCCGTGCCCCCGCCCCTGCTCCTCCTTTGCTCCTCCTGCCCTTCTCTTCCTCCTCCTCCCCTTCTTCCCCTTCTGCCTCTTCTTCCTCCTCTTCTTCTCCTCCCCTCTTTCCCTCCTCCTCTTCTTCCTCCGCCTCTTCTTTTCTGCTCTTCTTTTTCTCTCCTCCTCTTCCTCCTCCTCTTCTTAGCTTTCTCTTCCTCCTCCTTTCCTTTTCCCTCCTCCTTTTCTCCTCCTTTCTTTTTTTCCCTCCTCCTTTTTCTCCTCTCTTTTCCCTCTTCTTCCTCCCTCTCCTCTTCTTCCTCCTCTTATGGAAGTGGCAGTTGTTTGATTCTCCACTGGGTTCAAGAAGAGTTCCGGCCTGACCAATCCCTGCTAAGAAGAAAAGTAGACACAGACGCATACCACACATACATATATAAGAACATATAGATCTACACATCGACATAGACTATACATACATATATGTGTGACCCTGTGCCACCATATATACTCACCCTTACATATACACACCATGTATGTTTCCCATCACACACATTTGCACACACACCACATTCACAAATATACTTAACACATGCTCATACTGCCACCATATATTGTCACCCTTAAACACATAACCTAGTGTGTATCCCACCACAGACATGTTTGCACACATACACACACACAACACTCTCCTACCACACAAAAATACATACACACACACCATAGAGGCACTCACACCTTCCTACCATGCCACACACATAGAAGACATATAAGTGTCCAGACTGATGCACAGTTCCCCCCCACCCCCCATAGGCTGGCACTGACTTTGACTAAAACTAAGATATCTTAGGCATATAAGCTTAAGGTCAAAGGGCTTGGAGCACCTTCCCCTGGGCCCTTTCCTGGCAAATGCCAAGCTCCAAGAATCAGGCTAAGGCTAAGGAAGATCAGATCAGATCTCCCCACCCCACCCCACTTCCTTACAAGACTGGGGGAATGAGGGGAGGCAGGGCAAGAGGAGGCCATCCTTAGGACTGGAGTCCCAGGAATTAGAGTAGGGAACTTTAAGGTACAGCCCCCCCCTTCCCTTTTCCCTCCTCTGCCTGCATCTCTCTAGGGAAACTGCTGAAGGCTGGGGGATGGAGCTAGTCTCTGTTTCTGTGTAAAATAATTCTCTGCAACTCTCCCTTGTGGAAACTAGAGCAATTACAGGCCCCGAACCTGGTGAACATAGATATAGACATACAACCCCCTAAGGATATACATACACACACGTTCCATATATTCCTATACACTACCACCCTATCCACACCTTGACTCTAGGGACAGAGACAATCTTCCAACCTACAAACCTCATCCTCAACTAACTCCTCACACACCTTAGAAGAAAGATATACTCTCACTTCTTTCTCCCAACCCATCTTATATATATATATAAGATACACATATACATATTTACAAAGCACAATAATTGCCTCTACTACCTATAACCTCTCCGAAAACAGGCAAACCCATAAATACATTCCTTTCAACACACTAATATATGTACCCATATATGCACAAATCCAGAATCACTAATTTATATACACACTGCATCTATAGATACAGCCACATAACATACCTCTATACCATCTTCCTGTATGGAGAAACCGCCCCATTTATGTTCAGATCTATATACATAATTCAGAGATATACCCAAACATATATACAACTTAGTAACACATCTTCTTGTACCAGTTACACTGATACAAATTTACATATGTATATATATATAATATATACACATACATACATACACACACACCCCTCCACATATGCAGACACATCCCACACATTTACTGAAACATCAATATATACAAACACTGCCATCTCTATCTGTTGAAATCTTACCCATTCTTCTAGATGCAGGTCAAATGCTTTTCTTCCAGGAAACATATAAGTTTTTCTCCCTCCTTTCAATTGCCATGACATTCTGTCTATTCATTCATTACAAATTTATCACACTTTACTTTCTGTACTATACATATTTGCGTCTATGTCTTAATCAACTAGATTTTAAGCTTCTTGAGGACAGGATTTGTCTTACTTAAATTTGTCATCTCTCTCAGTAGTATATTGTTCACTATGTGCTAAGTGCCTGGCACATTTTAGGCACTTTATAAATGCTCATTGATTGATTAATGGTTGGTGCTCAATAAATGCTGTTAATTGAATATAAATTGAATTCCATTCCAGACTGATTCCATTCTGTCCTGTCCTATCCCATTTGTTCCAACTTATCCTTTATAATTCCATCTCATTTTATCATATACTATCTCGTGTCATCTTATCCTATTCTACTCATTTCATCTCAAGCTATTCCATCTCATTTCTATAAATATTTGCTGCAAATCTGAAGTGTACTTAGGCCTAAACAGAGGAGGTCTAGATTTATGTCAACCTGAGGGAGGTCTCTAGTGGAGTGCCCCATGGGCACTCGTTGGCATCATTCTATCCTTGACAACTATTCTATCCTTGACATTCTATTCAACATTTGGATCAACAACTTGGATGAAGGTGTAGATGGCATTTTTATCAAAGACATGGATTACCAGAATCTGGCTAGGATAGCTAACTGGCTAGATGACATAACTGGAATTGAAAAAAGATCTCAGAAAGCTAGCAAGATGGGCTGAGACTAACAATTAATAAGGATAAATGTTAAGTTGGGAACCCAAATGTTTATTTGGGTTCAAAAATTCAGTCATACAGGTTAAAGAAGACAGTCAGATAAAATTTCATGTGAAAAAACCTGGGAATTTTCATGAATTGCAAACTCAGGACAACTTAGCAGTGGGGTATAGTTGTCAAAAAAATTATTGTCATTAATAGAAGCATAGTATTTAGAATGAGGGTTCGGCAGTCATTCATGGTCAGATCACATCTGAAATCAATTAATAAACATTTATTAAGTACCTACTATGTGTCAGGCACTGGGATCTTATGTTTAGTTCTAGGTACCTAATTAGAAAGGACATTAGCAATATCAAGTATGTCCAGTGGTAGACAACCAAGATGATTGGTGACTGGACTTGAAGCCATGCTACATAAAGATTAGTTGAACAAACTGGGGATGTTAGCCTGGAGCAAAGAAAATATAGGGTTTAGGCAGTACCTGTTTAAGGATTACATGGAAGAAAGATGAGTCTTGTTAAATTTGGTCTTGAAAGATAAAACTCAGAAAAATGGCTCAGAGTTACAGAGATGCACTTTTTGGTTTAGTACAGAAGTAAAAACAGCTTCTTAACAATCAGAGATACTTAATCCTGGAATTAACTGCCTCAAAGATAGCGATCTCCCTAACAGAAGCCGTTTGACCACATCAGGTGTGTTATAAAAAGAAGTCCTGGGGAGGAGGAAAGGAGGGAGAAAAGGAACCGTACCTTTTCCCATGGCCACCCTCCTCCAGCAGAAGTGGAAGCAGTCTCAGCTTGTATGTGAACTTCTTTTAGGTCAATAGTTGTAGACAGAAAGCAAGTTCACAAGCAAAACTGAGATGCCCTGTAAATGGTAGTCTATGGACTCCTGAGTCTTCTGGATGGTGAATTACATAGCTCTTTTTCTAGATGAGAAACTCATTCCTAAGAATATGTGCACACAACCCCCCTCTCCCAAGCCACCTCTCTTGCTCTCATTTCGAATCACATTCGTGTCCAAACTTTTATTTTTCCACTTTAAAAGATGTGTGAGCATTAGGGTTATATTAGCATGTGAGACCATATAAATTTTTAAACTATAATGCTCTATATTTGGGTTCCCAACTTAACATTTATCCCTATTAAATTTTATCTTGTTAGTCTCAGCCCATCCTGCTAGCTTTCTGAGATCTTTTTTCAATTCCATTTATGTCATCTAGCCAGTTAGCTATCCTAGCCAGATTCTGGTAATCCATGTCTTTGATAAAAATGCCATCTACACCTTCATCCAAGTTGTTGATCCAAATGTTGATCCAAATGTTTCAATGTTCCTTCCAGTTCTGCTTTTCTATGTTCTTTCTATGTTGAGGCCCCTCCTAATTCTAAAATCCATATGGGTTTATAATCTCCATACTCATTCGTTCTTTGAGGTAGATGGGGTAGGTGTTCTACCAGTTTGACAAATGGATAGTCTATTAGAGCTCTTAAATCTGGATTCTGGATTATAAATTCCTGGTGGGAAGAAACTCTGTCCTTTGTATTCTCCGAAGAATCAAGCAGAGGGCTATGCCCATAGAAGGCATTCAGTAAGTACTTTGTATCTCAGAATCTTAGAACTTCTGGCTGAAAGAACTCTCCTAAATGACTGGGCATTTTCTCCCACTGTCCTGAATAGACTATATATGCAATGAGCGCAGAGACCATGTCTTTGTATTCTGGGGACATGCAATAGATTAAAAGATTGAATGAATGAATGAAAAGATATTTAAGTCCCAGATTTGGTACTGGTGATCATGGACAAGTCTCCTAACCTACTTTGGATTTCTGTTTCTTCATCTGTCAAATGGGCATAATGCTTGCACTACTTGCCTCCTGAGATTGTTGTGAAAAAAACACTCTGGTCATCAAAATGTGATCTGGGATTACTTGTTGCTGAGTTGAACTGAACTTTATCTCCTTAGGAGCCTCATTTCCAGACAAAGCTCCTCTGGGACCCAGGCCCAGGCCTGCAGGCCTCAGGCAGGGGGCATCTCCTAAGATAGAGTCGGCTTTAGGTTTGTGATCTCTCCCTGAGGATTTCCAGTGAAATTTGATCCCCTTGGCATTTCAGCAGTCATTCCCCTCCTCCCTGCCTCCCACACACTGAATTTGTACCACGGAGTTTGGGGCTTCATTAGTAACCGGATCAATCCATGGGAGAGCCCCCAGCAGTGGTTCCGCCTCTGAGTAATTCTAGGAAGGTAACATGAGCTGCAGGA